AAACCTTTTTTCGAGAGAGAGAGAGAGAGAGAGAGAAAACATATTTGTACAAATCTATAATTCTGTTGAGCAGAGAATTTCTGTATTCCACTATATATTGCAATGAAATGATTTCATAGAACTACAGAATGGAAAGATTGGAAGGGACTTTGGAAATCATCTAGTGCACCCCTCTGGCTAGGTCAGGAATCCATTAATATAGCATCCCTGACAGAAAGCACCCAGGCTCTATTTAAACACCTGCAGTGTAGAAAAGTCCACCTCCTCCCAAAGAAGTCATTAGGAACTTTTTTTCTGATGTCCAGTTGGATGGGGATCCTTCTAATTTAAGACCATTCATCCTTGAACAGTCTTCTGGAACAACTTTGAACAAATCAGCCCCATTTTTAATGTGACCGCTCTTCAGGTACTTAAAACTATCATGTTTCCTTGCAGTCTCCTCCAGACTAAACATACCCAGCACCTTTAACCGTTCCTTGTAAATTTTTCCTTCCAAGTCCCTTGATTGTTCTCTTCTGGATATGCTCCTCTTTATCAAATGCCTTTCCTAAAATGTGGCACTTAAAACTGGATCTAATGTTTCAGGTATAGTCTGACCAGTGTAGAATACAAAGGAATGATGTCTTCTGTTCTGACACTATACTGACACTATAAATGCTGCATCAAAACTGTGCTCAGGCACTCCAAAATATATATCAGAAAGTATTGACTGTTCCTTAATTTTCTAGAAGACAGCAAGATGACAGACAAAACTCTAGAGATGTTTCTGGAAAAATGACTGCATTTTTAAAAGATCTGTTGTCAAATACTGAACACATCTGCATTACACAGTTAACCATAACATATTTGGCTAACCAGCAGATGCATTAATGCAAATGCTCTGTGCGTGTCCACAGACTCTCCTGCAAATGACTGGAGCAGTTTACAAACTATCCATCTGTGACTGGTTTACAGTTAAGTCTGTCATCTGAACACAGGATGATACTTCCAGCCATTTTAAAAAATCAACATAAACTATCACAAACCATGAATATACTCTGTGATTTATGATAGCTATAAGCATTATATGGCATGAATTTAGACACTGTACTTAATTATAAACCAGGATTGTAAACACTTATGCTTCAGTCAACTACATGAAGTCAATGAATATATGCAAGCTATTAGCTATGGCACATTTGATATTTAACCATGAATAAATGTCATGTGTACATGCTGGTGGCAGCTATACTGATTCTACAGGGCTTGCATTTATTTTCAGTTTGGTTAAACAATTAATTGGATTCAGCATTACATTTGGTCAATTGGAGTACCTCTTGAGCAGAGCAAAATGCTCTTCTGATGAAAATAGATGTATGTGTATCAAATATTCCCCTCTCTTTTTAATACCTTCCCCCATCATTCTGCAATATTTCCTAAATTTGTAGAACAGGTTTTCTGCGAAAGGGACTTTCACAGGAGTTCAGAATCAATAAAGATTGCCTCAATATCCATTCTAATAGCAGAAATGTCCTAATAGCTCAGAAGCCTTCTGCAGACAGAGCCTTTCATCCACACATGGTTAATGGTGGATTCATCCCAATGTAGTTGGGCATTTTAAATTTCTGGAATATACATAGGCCTGCAGTCAATATAATGGCATTTTTACAAAAATAAAAACATTCAGTGGTAGCAAATTTTTTTAAAAAAACTATTTAAAACCTTTTTTCCCAGATATATACCTTCAGTTTACGCCGAGCATTGAATTCTTGGAGTTTCTTTTGAGCTGTATCCATATGAACAAAATTGGCTGCCTTTCCTGTGACCCAAGGATGCTGTAAAGCTTGGAAAGTGGTAAGGCGTTTCTTTGGGTCAAGTACAATTAGCTTCCTAACCTGCATAATATGAAAAATACAAAGTAACAAAAATCATTCAATTCCTTGAGTAATTGTTTTATTCTTCCCATAGGCCCTAATCCAAGGACTGGTGTATTCAGCAGATCTTATGTGCCAATATCTTTCTGACAAATGATTGAACTGTTAGCTGTAGCTGCAATAAACTGGCAAAGCTGAAGCAGAATTTTAACTTTGCAGCTTCTTTGCCCACCACAGCTAAAAGGGATGGAATGATGGATCAAAAGATTATTATGTTATTTTAAAAATCTCAAAGTTGTCAGTGTTGAAAAACTGAAACCATATATAAGATCCTTTTTCCCACTGCAGATATTATACATGTACCCTTTATATTTCTGCATTCATTACTGTTGCTAATTTATAGCCCATAATAGTGGAATGGCATTTTGCAATACAGATTTTCAAGATACCAAAACTATCAGTGCATGCTCTGAAATTCAAGCATGATGGAGAAATCAGGACAGAGATGTTTGATCCTTTGTCCTCTTTCAAGGCTTCTTTTAAAATCCTACCCAGGGCAAGCAATGAAAGGGAAATTAAGTAGACCATAATACCTATTTGGCCACCTGTCCATCTTTCCCTCATTAATCAATGGCAGAAAAAATGGTGGGAAAATACAGGAGAGTTCCAAGTGAAAGAAAATGTCACATGATCCCTTCCGCATAATATTCTGTAATTTCTATGGTGAATAAAAGCCTTATTGGGAAGCCAAGGGGTACAGAAGAATTTTTTTACCCTCAGTTACTTACTAGAATGGTTACAAACTTTGCCTAGTTGAGGAGTGGCTGGGCCTCCTCCCCTTACCACATAGAAGGTGTTGTTTATGATGTAAATCTTTTATGTTCAATTACAGTAATATTAAAAAGAATTGAAAGGCAGGTGACTTCACCACTCAAAAACTGTCACCAATTTACTGAACATACCAAATCCTTGGCATTCAGAGATACATCATCCCACCAGGGAGAAACAAAATCATATTCACAGTTCAGAATCCTCTTGAACATGTATTGATCTCCTCTTTCATCGTAGAATGGTTCAAAGCCACAAAGTCTACAGGCAAATGAGAAATACATTTATAAATTTGGTGAGATATCATGATATAGATCAGCCTCAACTTCTTTGCTACAAAACTGTATTTATGCCCAGAAAATGAGTATGCAAGTATTGAAGTACTGGGCATTATCTTGGAGATTAAAAATAATAAATTTTAACACAGAAATGTTGTAAATATCTTCAGTATGAACAGTTAATTTTCCATGAGCTCCACAGTAGGGTACATATGTTAAAAAATCTCACACTGGGCCTTAGATGGAACTGAAGTAGTGTTATATATATTCTTGTCCTGACTGATACTTCCAAAAATGTATGGTTATAAAAGCATACATTTACATGAAAAATAGAATGCAGTAATACTTTCATAAACAACTACTGAAGATCTTGATTTACTAAGAGGAAAGATTTATTAGAAAATACAGGGAGATCTATGGAATAGTACATAATTCAGTTGAATATAAACATTTATTTGCAGATGGCATTATTTTATTTCTAAACCTCATACAATTTTTCAATTCATTTTTTCTTTTTT